ATTTTGTAGCAGAATAGGTTCTCTATAAGCAGAAATATTACAATGAGGATGAACCTGAAGTTAAACAAATATGGTTTGTGAATTATTTTGGTACTGCAATTGCACAGAGGTTATTCTCTTTATGTGACTGTATAAGGAAGAAAAGTGGTCCTGTGTGACGTGAATGTATAAGGGAAGAAAAGAGGTCCATTGTGAAGTGAATGTGTAAGAGGAAGGTAAGACGTCCCATGTGAAGTGAATGTGTAAGGGAAGAGAAGACATCCCGTGTGAAGTGAACATGAAAGAAGAGGGGAAGAGGTCCTGGGTGAATATTCCCTGTGGAGTAGGTGTTTGATGAGCCCATAGTCCCTTGTCTGGCTTACACGTTCACAGGACACAAATGAGAGGAAACAGACTTTCAGGTTCTAGACATATTCCCAGCTGATAGTTCAGGGAATATAAAAACTCCCCTCATATTCTGTTGGGAGCTGACAGTAAAGCTGTAAGGTCATCTTGACCCCTGTGCTCACTTGAAGGCACGTACAAGGAACTGGCTTACTTAAAAAACACCAGGTGCCCAGGTTTGCTTTGCTATGTCTGCAGAGTTTGTTTTACTTTCTACCAGTTGACCTTGTCTTGTTTTACTGCACTCTGTTTTTACTGAAATTTTCCTTGTTTTTCTGGACTACTGTAACCTTATGTTACCTCTTGACTTCTAATAGTATATATTTGGAAAAGTTAAAAATAAACGGAGCTGCAGTCTTGAGCTGCAGACCTTTCGACCCCATCCTTTGTCTTATGTCCTTATTTTTCCGTCCTCGCCCCATAATTCAGGACACCCTTTCATTGCCGGCAGGCTCCGGCAATATTCCAGTGATAAGAGGGGTAGATAAATCTCTGCATTAGTGTACATAACTGTGCATTGCAGATTTGCATATGAAAATGTGCATAGGGAAACTACATAAAAGCAAATTAGATTTGTATATGTATATAAATGTGTGAAGTTATACATAGGGTACACATTAGAGCAACATATACACACATATATAACACACATGGAATAAATGTATTCTACATATATACACATGTGTGCATATCTCACAGAGTTGTATACCTATGTATATCTAGAACAAAAAAAAGGATCATCTTGATGCAGAAAAAGCTCTTGACAAACTCCAGCATCCTTTTATGCTGAAAGCTCTATAGTAGGGGATCAGTTGACTGGAAAATGTGTTCACATGACTATTAGCTGGGAGTTTTTCCCTGGCTTTATTCACTGGGAACCCCTTGCTGTCTGTGTTTTCTGAGAATGGGACGGGTAGAGCCTTTCCCACACTCAGCATGGGCTCAGGTCTGCAGCCCTTGGCTCAGAATCATCTCTGTGTTCTAAGCAGCGCTCAGGGAATCAGCCTTCTCCTCACAGCCCGAGGCAGCTGCCTTGCCTCAGGTTTCTGACACACTCAGGATGTGGGTATGCACACTGTGCCTCGCACAGTAGTACATGGCCGAGTCTTCTGCTGTCAGCCTGCTCAGCTCCAGGGATGCTGTGCTGGAGGAGGTAGGTGTCTGTAGTCAGGGAGACCTTGCCCTGGACCTTCTGAGTGTATTTGGTCTCACCATCACTAGGATCGATCCTTCATCCACTCAAGCCACTGTCCTGCCTTCTGCCTCACCCAGTGCATATAATAGCTGGTGAAGGTTTATCCAGAGGCCCTGCAGGCCAGCCTGACCGAGTCTCCAGGCCTCCTCACTTCAGCCCCAGGCTGCTCCAGCTGGACCTGGGAGTGGACACCTGCAGAGGAGAGGGAGGCTGAGAATCCCATCCAACCTCGTCATCTACAGCATGTGTAGAAAGGGATGGATGCAGAGGAGCTGGTGGGGGTCACTGGGACTCTGCAGGTAAACACAGCTCAGCGGTGCCCATGACTGGGCTCAGTGGGTCACAGAGCAGCCCGGACCTGACCGATGGCCCCTCACATGTCACCAGCAAGAGGAAAGGGGACAACGGGATCAAAGCCGGGCTGGATGCTGGGCTATGTGAATAGAACGGTGGGCCTTGAAATCCATCAGTGACATGGAGGCCCTGGCTCTGCACAACATCCCGTGCACTCCCACCTGAGGATAAAGACTGAACTAGCCAGGGAGTCCACTTTGTCTCTCCCGAGTCTGAGAGGAAAGGACTGAGCAGGGATCTTGACCTTCCTCAGATTTGACCCCAGTGATTTCAGCAGTGTCCACCGACTGTGCATGGTGCTGTGTCTGGTCCTCTCAAGGATGCATCATCAACCACAACAGAACCACCACAATGGAAGACAGAACAAGCTGTGTGCTGAGGGGCTGGAGAAGAGTAAGGAGAACACAGTAGACAGCTCTGTGGGGAATGTTGTGTCCTGTGGAGAGGCCAGGCCCACAGAGGAGTCAGAACCAGAGTGCTCCACAGCTGCTCCTGTGACTGCCATGATCTCAGTGTGAGCCCAGCGCCCCCTGCTGGTGCTGAGCGCCCTGCAGGGAGGTTTGTGTCTGGCCCACACTGGATTTCCTGCACTGTGTCTCTAGCACAGTAATAGACGGCCGTGTCCTCCACTCTCAGGCTGTTCATCTGCAGGTAAAGTATGTTCTTGCTGTTGTCTTTGGAGTGGTGAAGCGGCCCTTCAGAGTCTCCATACTTTATGTCACTACTACTTCCACTGATGTATGAGAGCCACTCAAGCCTCTTCCCTGGAGCCTGGCGGAACCAGCTCATGTAGTTACTACTGAAGTCGAATCCGGAGGCTGCACAGGAGAGTCTCAGGGACCCCCCAGGCTGCACCAAGCCTCCCCCAGACTGCACCAGCTGCACCTCACACTGCACACCTGCAAACACAGAGAAACCTGGTCAAAATGTTTACACACGTCCCCTGTCCCTCCCACTACTGTGCATTTGCACACTCAGTGTGCCTTGTCCCAATACATTACCTTTCAGCAGAACAAGGAGAACCCAGCACAGCCGCAGTTCCATGGTGAGTGCTCTGTGTCAGCCTGAGCCCTGAATGGTTCACCTGGAATCCAGGGCTGACGTCTCTCCATGCCTTCAGGGTCAGGGCTGCCTGGTTTTAGTGAGTAGAGGAAGGCCTTATTTGCATGTCTTCTGCTACATAGTGAGAGCCGGGGTGGAGGTGTCAGGGAGGGCAGTGCTGAGGCAGATGTGAGAGTCCTGAGGGGCAGTGCTACAAAGATGGCCTCCCAGAACACACGGCATCCCATTGCTGCCACCTGCTGGTTATCCACGTATTCGTCCCACGTTGATCTGAATATTACAGTCACCTCCCTGCACAGATGGGAAAGTACACACAGGTTCCACACAGCCGTGTGCTCTGGGGAGGTACTGATGTTTTCTTCAGCTCGAGGCCTCCGGCCTGCCATGCAGGTGCTCTAGCACTGGGCAGACTTCCAGACCTTCTTTGTACTAGTGCCATTTTGAGAAGGGTCTGATTATTTTGGTCATATTCTCACCTGGAGCTCCATTTTCCTAAGTGAAGTTTCCATCATGCCTGGGATTATAGGCACATGTCAGCACACTCAGCGTCTTTCTCTGAGATGGAGTCTCATGAACTGCTTGGTCTGGCTGTGCTGCTCTGGTGATCTCCTCAATCTTAGTCTGCAGGAGTCCAGCTGACACACACACACCACACTCAGCTATTGGTTGAAAAGTGTTTCCTGAATGGTCTTGCTAGGGTAGATCTCCACCTTCAAGTACCCTGCACTGTGTCTCCAGACAGCTCTGCTTATCGGCCTGGACCATGGATACCTGTCCTGAGCACTGTAAGCACAGCAGTCCCCTTCCTGTCTGTGTCCTGTCCGGTACTGTTCAGGGCATTTGCAAGAGCATCCAGGGCCTGTGAGACACTGGCTTGGCAGAGAACAGTGAGGCTGAACTTCTGGAGGTCTGGAAATAGAGGCACCTGGAAAAAGGCCCTCAGGGCTGGGCTGGGGAGGGCCAGTGTGTGGTCTTCACATGTGTCTGTGTCCCAGTGATCTGCAGTGCTTTACACTACTGGGTTGTGAATTTGAGGACGTCTGCGTTATGTTTTCTCTTCTTGGTCTCATGTGTACATTCCCATCATCAGTGTTGGACAGCTGCATGCACAATTCACCTGAAACTTTTGTTTTCCTGGTTCCATCATGTTTGCCTGACCAATCCCTGAGCTCTGGACATTCAGTGAATTCTAGTTGTGAGTGTGCTGACACACTTCCATTAGTGAACAATTCTGTGTTCAGGATCAGCCAGAACTAACTTCTATCATGACAGATACAAGCCTGCAGGCTGCATTTTTTGTGCCTGTCCTGGGTTGGAGCCCAGGGCCTGCACCCAGCCCACGAACTGCTTCTGAAGGCTAACATTGTACCACTTGAGCCACAGCTTCACTACTGCTGTCTTGGATCATTAGATTTTAGCAGCACAGACTTGCCCACACAGGCTGGCTTCCCACATGAGCTTCAGATGTCAGACCCTGGAATAGCTAGGGTCAGAGGATCCACTTTTCTTTTCAAAGCAGAGCCCAGGATCTGTTCATGAACATTTGGCAAGGAAGCTGAGATGTGAACTTAGAGAAGACACAGGAAACCACCCGAGACCCGGAGGGGAAGAGGAAAGCCCAGAGGCTGCCAAGAAAGAGCAGGTCCTGCACCTTCTTGATGCCACAGTTCCTGGTGTGTTCCAAAAGAATGGTGCTCATCTGTGAGCTCTGCAGATCCTCCTTCCTGACCCGAGATCAGGTGTGGCTTTGCTGCACTTTACTTCATTCTGACCACAAACCAAGACAGCCAGGGTTCAGGCAGATTCCTGACAGTGGGCTCTGGTGTATTATTTGTTAGTCAATCTTTCCTATTGGTTTTTCTGCTTCATATGAATTGTGTATTTGTGACAATTCCACATGTATTGTATATTGTCATCATCTCAATGTCAGTACATGTAACAGATTTCTCATAGGTAAACATTGATTTGGTAACTGATAAATTATTTTCATGTTCTTCAAGTTGTTTTACCAACCTGTGTGTCCTGGCTCCCACTGGCTACTCTCACTGTGCCTTGCACAGTAATACAGGACCGTGTCCTCGGTTCTCAGGCTGCTCATTTGCAGGTACAGTGTGCTTTTACTGTTGTCTCTGGAGAGGGTGAACCGGCCCTTCACAGAGTCTGGGTACCATGTGCTACCACCTCCTGGATCAATTTGTGCAACCCACTCCAGCCTATTCCCTGGACCCTGGCGGATCCAGTCCATGAAGTAACCACTGAAGGTGAATCCGGAGGCTGCACAGGAGAGTCTCAGGGACCTCCCAGGCTGCACCAAGCCTCCCCCAGACTCCACCAGCCGCACCTCACACTGCACACCTGCAAACACAGAGAATCCTGGTCATCAATGGTCACACACATCCACGGTTCCTCCCACTCATGTCCATTTGCACACTCAGTATCCCTTGCTCCCCATGAATCACCTTTCAACAGAGCAACAAGGAGAACCCAGCGCAGCCCCAGCTCCATGGTGCTGGTCTATGATCAGTCACTGGTGGAATCAGCTCACAGAGCTCAGGTCAGGGATGGGCTGGTTTTCATGGGCAGAGGGACGTCCTATTGCATGTACTCTGCTATAAAGCAGCTCTGGGGGGAAGTCTAGAGATTGGGCTCCCAGAGCAGAGGTGACTGTGCTGGAGAAGTTTGGTGACAATGGTCACCTTGGAGACATCATGACGCACTGACCATGCGCTGTGGTTCACACTGTACCTGCAGCTCCTTGGGAGCCTGAGGCACAGTGTGAGAACACTGAGAGCTGTCTGGGGTGCAGAGGGACACACATGTCCTCTCACTCTGCCATTGTGCCTGGTGATCGTTCTGTCAGCATTTCTGATCACACACAAAACACAAAGTGCAACACGCGTGTGACCTCCATGTGCACATGCAAGAGTGTAAAACAATGGTGAATTGTTTCCACACTGGCAGCATCTACCGTGGTATGAGCTCCATGCCTGGTCTGGGTCTGCACAGCCAAGGAGGGCCCACAGTTCCTGCTGTGTTCCAGGAGAATGGTGCTCATGTGTGAGCTCACAGAGCCTCCTTCCTGAGATGAGATCAGGTGTGGTTTGCCATGCTTTACTTCATTCTGACCACAAACCAAGATGGCCAGGGTTCAGGCATACACTTGGCAGTGAGTGGGCTCTGGTGTTTCACTTGTCACAGTCTGGCTTTATTGTTTGTTTATCCTGTTTATATGCATTTATTTGTAACAATATCATCTGTGTTATCCATCTCAATAATAATAATAATCTCAATAAGTCACAATCAATAACAATATGCTCATAGGTAAATGGGTATTTGGTAATTATGGAAAATGTCTTGTGTCTTCTTCAAATTGTTTTATCAACCCTTTGACAGTGTTCTTGAATCAGTCTTTCAATTCATTGGTTACAGTGATTCCTAGTGCTGGACAAGATGGTGAGCTAAATGTGAACAACACTTTTGTCCATGAACAAGAATCCACTGACACAAAGCTGAGCAGATTCTGAGGAAGAGAGGAAAGGAGAAGCGACAGGGAGTTCCTGGGGACCCAGGACATGGCAGAGAAGCAGTCAGGGTGGAGAAACTGTGGCACTGAGCTCTGATCTGTGTGCAGCTCCCCTGCTGGGGAAGAGAGCTGAGCCGTCAGCAGGTGACATCAGGTGTGCTCACAGAGGGACTGGCAGCTCTGCTGTGGGACACATGGCTGAGGACCCGTTAACTAGCAAAAACCCTGAAATGAAAGAAACAGAAAGAAATCACCAACCCTTGTGTTGGGGGTGTGGACCAGTTATTAGGCAGCTAGTCAATGAGAGAAAGCATCAGGTTCTGACATTGAGTACCAGTCATGGATCCAAAAGGGAAAAGGAAATTGAGGCCTGACTCAAATGATAGAGAACCAGCCTTGAGTGAGAAAGCAGAGGGAGAGGGCAAGGTCCCTGTTTGTGCAAATATGCACAACAAAAATGCTTATAAATACATGAGAGATACCGAGTGTAGAGGGCCAAGCCGGGTCATGTAAAGCAGGCTGGCTGACAGTGAGAATGTAAATAAGAACGTGACTGGAAGTTATACCACGGTCCATGAGCACAAAAACACTAGAAATGCTGTAGATTCCAAACTCCAGTAATGTCCAGTGGCACATTTGCTTCTTATCTTCAGTTGCTGTGGCATTGTTTACATCACAAGCCAGGAGATTAACCCAGGTGTCCATGAGAGAAGGAATGGAGAAAGGAAATGTGGTGTCTTTGCAAAACAGGAGATTGTTCATCCATGGAAGGGAGGAAGTCCTGGCGTTTGTGACAACATAGATGACTCTGGGGAGTTCACATGAAGTGTGGTAATGCAGCTCAGAAAGACAAAGGAGGGCTTTTGACACCTGTGTGGTCTGTATTTGTGAAAACGTGTAAGTCAGCAGACCGCAAGCTTCCTGACTGTCAAAGAATGGAACCTGTGGGTGCTGTACGATCCTTAGCTCTGCGTTGACAACAGTTCCACAGCATTTGTGTGCATTGTCACGTTGCACTCTAAGTGTGAATGTGCATCATTTTAATTGTCAATGCTATGTCAAGGAAGTAGACATAATTACAAAGCTTTCTGACCTTGAGAACTTTTAGCAAAGTGGTGAGAAGGACACCAAACGTCACCATCGCAGCAGGAGCAGCGGCACCGTCGCTGTCCTTCCCTCCTCCCCAGAACCCGAAGCTCTCGGGGGCTCGGTCATCTGGAGCATGTGGGCTGAGCCCTCTCCTGAGCAGGGCCTAGACACCAGCAGCCCCTCCACAAGGTGAGCCTTAACTTTCCCGATGCTCTTCCTGATCTGTTATTTGAACTGACACTAAACAGAGTGGGCAGAATGTCAGGTTTACTGCATGTATCTGTTGTACACTGTTTAGATCCTGTTAAACACAGTTATGTCCTCAAGCATTTATCAATTCTTAATGGTGTTTTGTCTGTGTTCTGGAATGTTCAGTCTAGAGTATTTATTTATGTCCACACATGTTGCAATATGCGGAGCCTGGGGACTGGACAGTAATGGACACAGGTCTAGAATCAGGTCTGGGGTGCCTAGGGCCTGAAGCCTTCCACCAGCTTTAGGTATCCTGGGGCCATTTTACAAGGTCTTTACTGAGTAGGGTGTAGGGTGGACCTCAGAGAGTGAGGTCACAATGTCCTTAAAGTCACCAACACCAACTAAATGGTCTAATCACACACCAGTGATAATGACCTCTTTATCTTAAGAAGCCAAAGTAAGCAGTAATTGATTCTTCTCTAGCCCAAGGTGCCAGAAAGCCTGGTGTGAAATTAGCCTACACCAGCATAGAAATCTGCATTCCCATCAAGTCAGGACTGAGTGACCTTTTCAGGAAAGTCTCAGTGCTCTGAGGGTTCATGTGGGAGGTGGCAATGCATCTCTCTATCCTTTTGGGTCTCAGAGCTTGTGTTTTGGGGGCTCTCACGACATAGCAATGGCATTATATATATGCCCTTAATATCGAAATTCCATTCCTGTGTGCAATCCTTCAGTAGCAGATACACATTGGAAAGACCCACACAATGCAATCTTCACATCAGCCGATATGGTGGAAGGATGACACTGATAATGCCTGGAACTGTCAAAGTACGGAGCAGTGGGTTTGCTGGTGCGTCCAAAAGCTCAATGGACGTCTGCCTACCAGCCCGGAAATTAAAACCCAGAAATGAACAGACAATCACCCAACGTCCAGGAGGCTGTGGAGGGATCTTCAGGAGGATGAGGAAATCGATAGGCTCAGGGAGAACAGGGAGAACCAGGTTGACACCGATCCACCCTGGGGCAAATAAGGAAGCTTTCTCTAGAAGCTGGAGGAGCTTATAGGAGAATGGAGAGGAAATCAACAGGAAGTATCTGTACCAATGGTGGTGGTATTCACACTGCTGGTGTCTGTGTGGGGACTCCTAGGCTGGGTAAACTTTTGTATGGAAATGTGGTGTGGTATGTAACAACTCAGTGTTGAGATGGAGGAAGGCTTTGCTATCCTAGAGGCCAAAATCTGAGTTCCACAGCTTGGTGCCTTTACTGCGGTGTCTGTGGTCACCATGGCCGCGGCACACACGGGCACCAGGACCCCATGCCAGCAGAGCACTGCGCCCCTCTTGCTCCACAAGCACACAGCAGGTACCTGGAGGGTGCTGTCGCCTAGTGAGGAGAAGGGTTTGTGTACTGTCCAAATGATTCCACAGGATGAAACCTTCCCAGGTGGAAGACGCCTTTCCTAAGCCATGGAGTTCAGACAAAAATCCTTCCTCAAGAAATGAGCCTTGTTCCTTTGGGTAATGGTGTGGTGAGGGAACAGGGCGAGATTTGTCTTTGTCTCAGGGAGGGTAGTATGAAAGGAGGGTGAGGAGCAGCACCACAGGGGCCAAGACACGGGGCAGACGCCTCAGGAGGCAGCTCTGCTCAGCACAAGATTCAGGGTGAGCAGCAGTGCGCGGACATGCATAGCGCCAGGACTCACGGACACCTCCCCTCAGTCCTGGACATGCACAACACCAGGACTCACAGACACCTGCCCTTGGTCCTGGACAGCACACAATTCCAGGACTCACGGACACCTGCACTCGGTCCTGGACATGCACAACGCCAGGACTCACAGACACCTGCCCTCGGTGCTGGAAATGCACAATGCCAGGACTCACAGACACCTGCCATTGGTCCTGAGCATAACAGCACAACCAGGCAGCCCATGATTCCATTTCCCCAGAGACGCGGATGGTGGAGGTGAAATCATGTGGATGGAGTGGACAAGGCTGAGCTCTCCATCCCCGTCCCACGACCACTGTTCAGCCTTCCTCCAGACACGACGTCCAACTCCATTCCCACAGGAGGCCTGCTGAGAGACAGCAGGAGAGGGCTGATGCACACAGGCTGAGACGTGGCACCGGCACGTTCTCCAGGTCTGCAGAAGCCCCAGCCTGAGCAACACCTGACCCCAGCTCCCCACCTGACCTGGGGTTCAGTCCACACACCTCCATTTCTAGCTGACCAGGGAAAAGAAGACACAAAGAGGAGAGTCTCTGAGCAGGAACATGAGTCCACTGACACTACCCCATTGTCCAGTCGTGAGCTGGATGTGCACAGGCAGGAATGGGAGAAAGGGAAGGCTTGCTAGCTCCAGGGGTGGTGGTCTGGCTTCTCCTCACAGGATTTGGAAGTACTGGGTTAGAACTCAGGCCTGTGCTCATTGGGCCGTCGTGCTGTGACTGTGCCAACCTCTCATTTTGCTGTCAGCTGTTATTCGGGCAGAGCCTTGGTGTTGACTGAGGCTGGGCTTGGAGCTCAAACGCTGTGTCCATAGCTCTGGTGTAGCTGGGGGCCCTGCGGGCCTGGGCCGTCACCCCCAGCTCCTTGACTGAGATTCAGCTGGCTAGTGTTTTCACTGGCTGGATTTGAACCATGATCCTCCAGTCCCCACTTCCCACACAGCCTGGATTGCAGGGAGGACCCTGTGCC